TTAGATACACTGAAAGCTATGAAATTGGCCCATTTCAGTGGACCATGTACAACATATGTGAAATGAAGTTCACAAAACTCTAAGAAGGGTACCAGTGGGGGAGGGAGAGGAGGAGAGAGAGGAATGGGGGAATGAAAATGACTGAAATCCATTATAAAATGTGTGAAACCATCAATCAATAAACATGGAAGAAAACAGAAATAATGAAATGTTGGTTCACGTACTCACTGAGAGGAACAATGGATCAAAGAAATTAAGTTTTAAGAGCTTCTTCACTTTTTGTACAAAGGGATTTTGTGGGTTGTTGAGGGAATCGACGTTTACTCCGAATGATGTGCCGGTGATCACATCCATGCTGTAGGCCCCAAAGACGCTGAACAGAGAGACAGATGGAAATCATTGCCTATGCCTTCTCTTATTCCTTCTAACATATGTAATACATAAAATGGGAGTAAATTCACAAGCCAAGGCAAGGCAGACACTGCAGAAATCCTGCTCTCGTGAATCTAGGCCTCCCTCATGCTTTCTGGTGAGCAGTTCATCAGATGACAGTGTTCACACTATTTTTGTGCTAGGTTGTGGCATGGGTACGGTGAGACATGGGCACGGGGAGACATGGGTACGGGGAGACATGGGTACGGTGAGGGTTAGTTTTAGTTGTCAATTTGACACAATCCCCAACCATCTGGGGAGAGATTCTCAGTGAGTGGTTGTCTGCATCAAGCTGGCATTTGAGTATGTCTGTGAGGTATTGCCTCGATTGCTCTAATGAGTGTGGAGAGAGCCAGTCCCCTTTGGGCGGCATCTTTCCCTGGGTTTGGGTCCCTGACTGCATAAGGGTAGAAAAGGTTAACTGAGCACAAGTGTGAGTGTATTTCTCTCTGTTCTTGACTAGGGATGTGACTTGGAGCTTCAAATCCCTACCTCTATTTCCCTGCAATGACATTGACTGAAACCTGGAACTGTGAGATATTATGAACCCTTTCCTCACTAACTTGTTTTCCTTTCAGGGTATTTTATCACAGAAATAGATATGAGATTAGAATAGATATCAGGAGACATGGAGTCACAGGAAGAAGAGATCTAAAACCAGACATTACATCAGTGTGGGTGATAATGAATGTGGAAGTACCATGCCTCACTAAGACAATGTGAAATGCTTCTCTAATGCCTAGAACACTAAGAAAGAGAACATTGTATCACTGGTATCTGTGCCCAAAGCTAGTTCATCTTCAGTACAACATATAACAACTGTTATTAATTCCCTGGAGCACACCCCATGCTGAAGGTACCAATAGATCTGCTCTTTCCCAGCCCCAGGGAGTTGACATTGCTTCAAGGGCAGAGGTATTGCTTTAAGTTGTGAAAATCAACAATATTCCTAGTAAAACACTTTACTTATGTGCCCACACGTTCCTCATTTACCAGGAGGGTTGAATGTTACATCAGTGTTTCTTTAATAACTCAGAAGGCCTGAGTTTATCCAAGAAAATGATCTGATTGCAATGCCTACAGCCTTACAGGTACTGCACTCTTCAGAAATGGGGTAAAAGGGAAGCAGCAGGTGGGTTGCACTTTCATTTATTGACTCTGAGTGCAACTTGCATGTATGTGCATCTGCTCCTGTGAGGCGTGTGTGCATACATGTGTGTGTGTGTGTGTGTGTGTGTGTGTGTGTGTGTGTGTGTGTTTATGTGGGCACACTTGTACCATGGTGTGCATCCAGAGGACAACTTGGGGGAGCCAGTTCTCTCTTTCCTCTATGTGGGTCCTGGGGATGAAACTCAGGTCCTTAGACTTGGTGGCAAGCTCCTTTACCCACTGAGCCTTCTCACTGACCCTAGGCAAGTTTTACTGCTTCACTGATATTCTTCATAAGCCCATGATGAGATATCAATTGCTCCAAGTTCTACATTTTAATTTCCTTGGTGTACATGCAGTGTCTTAATATGAACTGAATGATTTCTCTGCTGTCTATTTTCCATGGACTCTAGACTAAAAATGTGTTTTAAATCATAATCCTTCTTTCTAAACTATCTATTTTGTTTTTTAGAATTCCCCAAATAACAATTATTAGAGAGATTAACCATGGCTTCCATATACAGAAGTGATATCCTTTCATCTATAGCCACCCTACCTTCTCCTGGGATATGCCCTTTTTCTTGAATGGTCTATTACAGTCATAAGGTTTGCTACAGAGAGGTCTCTAATTTCCACTGGTCTCAACCTCAGCAGAAGACAGTTGTAATCAGTTGTAATGCTGATAGCTCACTCCTGTCTGGTTCCTGAGGTGACTTAACAGTGGGAACTTGAGCATTCCAGCAGGCATTTACAGTGTCTACTAACAACTATTGTGTTTTGAATATGAAATGCCACCATAGGCTCATGTGTTTGAACACTTGGTTCTGAGCCCATGGTACTGTTTTGGAAGGCTCTGAACTTTAGGAGGTGGAGCCTCATTAGAGGACATAGATTGTTACCGCCAGATCTTGTGTCTATATAGGCTGGGCTTCCTGTTTCTTGAGTGTTAGATGCAGTGTCATCAGCTAGCCTCCTGCTCCTGCCACCATGTCTTCCTGCCATGATAGACATGTAGCCCCACAGAACTGTAAGCTGGAACGAAGCCTTTCTCTTTTGCTTTTGTTGGAGTACTTTGTCACAGCAACAGAAAAGTAGTTGACACAACAACCCAGCCCCCAACGACTGTACCAGCACTCACTCTTTCATGATGATGGGATCCCCATTCTCTGCTCCATGCCTCATGTTTCTCACTAACAAGTCTGTATACTGGTTAATGATGGGGAACATCTATAGACAAAACAAAACACCATCCATAGTGAGATGAGGGAGCTCAGTTTCCAGTGGAAACAGCTTTCCCAAGGACAAAGCAAGAAGTCCCATGAACACAAAAGGACATTCTTAGGAAGTTTCAACTCAGAGGACACTGCTTGGAAAAGGACTGTGATCCACCTACCCCCAGGATCTGCTTTTCATGTTTCCATTGAAAAGCTTATTACTTCATTACCTCCTTGAGCTTTCCACTGGTGAAGGTTGGAGACAGCAATGTTCTTAATCTCTTCCATTCTTCATTCTGAGATAAGGTGATTGCTTTTTTCAAATACCCCGCTGGACCTAAACCCTGGAATCCAAAGCAAAAGAGATATTGTATACGTAAGTTTGGAGAACTCTACAGTTGTAAAAAAATTAAACAGGTATCATTTATTTAAAAACATTTGTGACTGTATAGTTAGTTAATGTAACATGTTCAAATGAACATTTGCCTCAAATGCTTCAGCCCCTGGGAGGTTTGAGGTGGCACCCAGTCAACACATGTGGCTTTAGAACTTTATAATCTAGTGTCCTTCTTCTACAGAAGTTTCACGTAACAGGGGAAACCACTGCCTCAGGGGGACTTGATAGCATCAAGACCTGGCACATCCTTCCAGTCTGCGCCAAGTAGGAAGGAACTGATGGCAACTGGTGGCCTTGTAAAGACAGGCCAGTTATTCATTTACACATATTCACAGGAAGAGCTTCTTGATAAAGGGGTAATAAAGAGTGAGTTAAAAAAAAAACAGTTCTCAAAGTGTTATTGAGAAGACAATAACAGTATTTGAAAGAATCTAGGCATTATTTGGAAGAAATAATGTAATTCTATGTAAATTTTTTTCTTACTGATTTTTTTTAGGTATAGATGATCATACTTTCCACCTCATGATAGACTTGGCACCACCTCCTTGAACCTTATGCTTATAAAAACACATGCTTTGTACAAAAATGGGTATTTTTGTCATTCTGTATTTTAAAATGAACACATTTTTTGTTTGATGTCTATCCCTGGAAAATGTTTACCTATGGTATCAAAATTGAATTCAACATAATAAATTAAGAGAAAAATCACACTGTTTTTAGTGCTTTTCATTGTGTGCATGCACATGTGTGTGTGTGTGTGTCCCCATGCATGTACGTGCAGAGATAAGAGGAGGACATCGGGTGTCCTACTCTGTCACTTTGCCTTATTTCCTTGAGATAGGGTCTGTCACAGAATCTGAAGCTCACTGTTTCATCTAGGCTGGCTGGCTGTGACCTCCTGGGATCCACCTGTCTCTGTCCCCAGTGCTAGAGCTTTTGTGCCTGTGGCCATGCTCAACTTTTTTTTTTTTTTTTATGTGAGCGCAAACACCTTTGTAAGATATAAGATAAGTAACAAATATTCGGGCCCATTTCTAAGGCAAGTGAGAGTAGGTAAGACTACATGAAACACACAACTGCTTTTACAATCAACCCAAAGAAATGAAATACTAGGGGCTAGAGAAATGTCTCAATGGCTAAGAATATTAATTGCTCTTTCAGAGGACCAAGATTTGATTCAGTCATCCTCATGGCAACTCGTAATCATCTGTAACCAGTTCCAGGGGTTTTGATGATCTCGTCTAGCTCCATAGACACTCAGTATGCACATATTGCACAGACATACATGCAATCAGGACACCCATACACATAAAATAAAACAGTAAAATAAACAAATAAAAGAAGATGAAATACTTTATGTATGAATCTAACAAAAAATGTACAGTAGGCTGGAAGCTGTAAAAATGTTGGTGAAAGAAATCAAACAATTTGAAGGAATGGAGGAACACATCATATTTTTAGACCAGAAAACTCTGCCAGGGGGATGGCTCATCAGGTAAGAGAACTTTTTTCTCTTAAGTATTGCTGCCTGCGGGGTAAGCCCCCCAGGAGCACAGGGCTCAAAGGAAATCCACAGAGTCGGCACATACTAGACTTTTCTATCTAAGGAGATAGGGGAAAGACACTCTCTCTCTTGATAGTTTCCTCCCTTATTCTCTATTCTTCTTTCTGTGTTCTACATTCTCTTTTCTTATCTCTATCCAGAGATGTCCCTTCTGTTTCTCTTGATCTTTTCCTTCTCCTTCTTACTCTCTTGAAGTTCTCCTCCTAATTCTCTCTTTTTTGATGCTTTCCTTCTGACTTTTTCATTCTTGATGTTTTCCTTGTAGCCCATTTTAACTCTCTCTAACTATCTTTCCCTTACAGTTTATATATTCCAGCAAAATCTTTCAGGCAATATAAAAATTACAATGTGGTTACTTTCTATTTTTCAAGTGAATGAATACAAGTAAATAACAGCATGCTTCCCATATCCCTTACATGATTAAACATCTTATGTATTATAGGAGGAAAACAAATTATTTCAAGAACCCATGTATATTCATACCCAAGCAACTTTCTGTAGGTTAACTGTGTAGGTAAGCAAGATATTCTTCGCTGTTAGTTTTTTTATTGGCAAGCTGTACTTTGCAGTTATAAAGAAAGGGCCAATTACTTTATTACTTACCTTGAAAGGTAATCTTATAAGAAATCTTAAAGGAATCACAAATCTAAACTTTTATTTGTGAAAAAGAATCAGCCAACGCTACTTTAAATCTTTATACCCACACATCAATAGTTTTTTTTTTTTTTTT